GTGAATAGTTGATTGGTTACCAGACCATATGACCGCAAATGTTATGAAATTGAATGGTATGATTGGATTTATGTCCCACTTTGGATATACCAGTTACACTACATGATTGATAGTTAGTTTCTACAGAAGTTTGAACAGGATTAAATGATACATATCTTAGAGGATAAATATCTAGGAGAGTGTAGAGCGCGCTAATCTATGGGTAATAGTTTGCAGTACCTAGAACAAAAATATATAAACTGTATTGACTATACTCTCTAACTCTTTCGTTTTCTGACTTATGGTTATGTGCTAAAGTCACATTTTTGAAAATTCTTTTAGATAAAGGCAGAATTTGTAGTGCATCTCACCTCATCACCATCGTAATCCTTTTCATTAAACTCGATCTTCTTTTCACCAGCCTCCAAATCTTCCACCTTCTCCTCCTCTTTCTTCTCTTCCTCTTTCTCCTCTTCCTTTTCTTCTTCTTTCTCTTCTTTATCTTCTTCGTCCTCGAACGTGTTCTTCATTTCTGTAATTTTGGAGACTTTCTCCGTCAGGTCACTTTCTTCAAGATCCTTTACTGAGTCCTTTAACAAGTTCACACAGAACTTTATCCAGCAACGCTCAACATCTGCCCTCGCCTTTACTATCTGAAAATTTTTAATTGACGAACGTTTTTTAATGATTTTATTCACATCAACTACAGTAAGAGTGAAATAAAAGCTTGAACTCTCTACAAAAAACACGTTTGTTTCGAATGAGATTATCATTTTTCAGATCAAAAGTAAACACCAAATACATTTAAAAAGGAACCTTCTCGTTATCGTAAGACTCATCACTGTAGATAGCATTCTCAGCGCTTTCCTGCACGTTACTCATGACGCTGGACGCGCACGCAAGCGTGTGGCGTGCTGATTGGTAGTTGTTCATTGTAACGTAGTACTGGGACAGTGTGGCGCAGTTCAAACTCCAGTCAAGGGGATCAAAGTCCTGCGGGGAATTACAGAGTTAGTTTCAGCGCTTACCTTCCAAACTAGACAGACAGGAATTAAAGAAATAAGATAGCTCCTGTATTATAAAGGTAAGATCAACTATTTCCTGTCTAATCCTACTGTAGTTTTTGCCAAATAATCGGGGGAAAAATAATCCTTGCAAACAATTAACACACTCCCTACATCAGCCTCAAGTTGTCTCTGCAGTGTAATGTGACAATGTGCAGCAGCCTGCTTGTTATCGCCCTTCACTCCGTACACTTGAGCCAGGTAGAACAGAGTGTTTGTGTACAGTTTCTCAAACATTACGTTTCTCTCATCCGAGCTGAACTTCTGAAACGATTGCGGAGTTAAGGGTGCTTTAAATGAGGATATCGTCTGTACAGTTGTACTGTACGCTTACTGTACACTTACTGTGCACTTACTGTACACTTACTGTACACTTACTGTACACTTACTGTACACTTACTGTACACTTACTGTACACTTACTGTACACTTACTGTGCACTTACTGTACACTTACTGTACACTTACTGTGCACTTACTGTACACTTACTGTACACTTACTGTACACTTACTGTACACTTACTGTAACACTTACTGTACACTTACTGTACACTTACTGTAACACTTACTGTACACTTACTGTACACTTACTGTACACTTACTGTACACTTACTGTACACTTACTGTACACTACTGTACACTTACTGTGCACTTACTGTAATCTGGATTAAAATCAATGTACGTGGTTTTAATTTCCACTAAACACAAGCAATGTAAACTTTAGAGAATCTATAAAACTGCCGGTGATGTTCACGGTATAACAGATTTATAAAGTAAAATTGGAAAACTTCATTAAAAAAAGCAGTAACTAATAACCTCATCCATGAATATTTCGTCGTAAGATTTAGGAGGGGGTTCCTTGCTGTGGAGGAATCCCGCGTGAAGCTCTTTAGCCCTCTCAAGCAGCTTATACGCTTTGTCATGATCACCACGGCCGCTCCATACCGTGGCTGAAAGTACGAAACGTTAACAATAGATACTCTTAAATTCCTGCAGTGTAAGGTATTTAAATGTCATAATAAACTGTGTGAGGTTTAAGTAGTCTTACCCTTGACATTGTGCACATGGAGGAGTAAGCTTATGTTATATTTGTTGACCGGTTCCAGAGCCAGAACGTCCACACAAGACTGGAAACTCTTGACAGCTTCCTTTGGTTCCTCGACCTCCACACCGACTTGTCCTGTAAATAATAGTGTTTACAGCTGTGACGTATCAATATCAGAGTGTAGGTATTATATAACAGTAACATTATATATTCGTAGGGTTCATATTGTCATATTGATTGTGCACCCTTGTCTTGGAAACGTTATGAAGTTTCTAAAGAATAAACAAGATGAAATAAAAAGGCACACACCGATGTAGAACATTATTGTAGCTTGAGCACATCTTATTCTAGAAATCTCCTGATCGGTTGAGGGATTGAAAGACTGAGCTCTCTGCAGTGCTGACTGAAGCATGCTCCTCCCTGCATATTTAGATTTGAAGGGTTCTGTAGGAGGATCCTCTTTGGACAGCTCCTCAATAACCCTCCTTGATTCAGCCACGTGGGAGCAGATTGACAGGAACCATTCGTTAATGTTCTGAGGAGCTTTAGCAAGCTCATCCAGGGACGGCATTTAGTCAGCAGTAGTACTTTCTATAGCTATAAAAGGGAGTTTTATTACTCTGATGCAATAATTATTCGAGATAACAGGAATTGTGATAACTATGTGATAAATATGTTTTGAAAATATAGCAAAGTTCAAAAGAAATTAGATTAGACAAAGGTTAGCTAATTTTCACAAGACAGTAACTGAATGCACGAGAATTGTCAATACTATAACCAATAGTAATTTAAAGAATGCTTTACTCAATGTAAGGAAACCTTATTTTTTCAATAATTTTTCTGCCTTCAGAGCTTTAAGTCACAACTTAATTCTCTATCACATTATATTTATAGAAACTGAAATTCCAAGAAATAAAGTACGACGCAAACCCGGAAGTACGAGAATTCTCCACAGAAAAAGCAAAATAAACGACCTGTAAGCTCAAAGAGAAAAGACGGTGCAATGACAGCAAAGCATGTAATACACTGTTAGAACTACCCAACAGATCACCTCTATATATATTTATATACAGTAAGTATCATTGCATTATGTCCATGTTAGGCCTGATTTACCTCGCTAATTAAAGCTATGTGACCATTATGTATTTCCTACACACGATCCAAACATTCTAACATTACTCTGAAGCACCAGTAGTAGTAGTAGTAAAGCACCAGTTACGAAAGCAACAGACGTAAGTGGTATGAGGTTAGCTGATGATGCTATCAGTTTGTGGTACAGCAGAATGGGAGTAACAGTAATTACAGTATATTCTTAGTAATTAGTACAGTAATTACAGTACATTCTTAGTGCATGCACCGTGTGGGAATATTATTGTGTAACTTTAAAAGCTTTTAAATTATTACAATAAGTTACTTTGTACTGTGTAGTACTTACAACATTGGGGAGTTTCAATTATGCAATTAACGGTTCATCTGAGCCAGTTTGTAGTCAACATCATTGTTTAAGCTTATGTTTTGTCGATTAAAAACTTAATTGTTAACAATTATACATGAATGAGAGGCTATGGTTTGGTTGATTTGATTGAATATTAATAACAGGTAATTTATTGTTCCAGTAACTTATGCTTGTTCAGATACCTTTCTGTAAATGTACATTAATAACTGCATTAAAGCAATAAGCTAGATCTTTGATAAAAACCAACGCATTACAGAAGACAGAATACCGCGCCGGAAATGAAAAATTATTATCAACGCAACATGATCCTAAAACATAAGTACAAAATCGCAAGCACACATAAATAGTTATAACTAGTATAAATACTATTATTTAAATACTAAAATAGACCAGTAATTTCTGCTCTGAGATGTCATTATTTTCACGGATCAGTAACACTGTGATCTGACTCCAAGGATCGTTTCATAACAGTTATTCTTCTCGTCCTATTGACTTTCTGCCCACAAATTTCAGCAACATTAGGCAAAATTTCATGAGTGTATTTGTACCTTATATCATCAGACATGATGTACACAGAAAAGCGAGGAATTAATACATCTGCATAATTACCTTCATCAAGCTGTAGTCTCATTACTGCATCTGATAAAAGGGACAAACCACTAACAAGGGCACCACAGAACTTGATACTGTCAATGTGTGGTTTAATGTAACCTTCTTCAGAAAGATCAAGTACATGTGTAGCGGAAATAGAACTGTCTTTACGCCCAAAAACATGCTCCTCAAATTTGTTCATGATGGTGGTGTTGGGTGTGTTCCACTCCAATTTTTCCATTTCCCGGTATAATACTATTGCTCCATCCCAGTGGCCAGAGTTGTATTTCCTTCTGAGGAACCTATGATTCACCTCACCAAGTATTTGTTCTTCCTCTTCTTCTGTGAGGAAATTTTCTTTCAGATTAAACCCTTGTTTAAGCTGAGATTCAACAAGCTCAGATGAGGCTTCATAAAGAAGATTACGGGATTGAATATATGATTTCAGGCAGTGATTACAAGAGTTTTTGTTGAGCTTAGAAAGCAATCTTCCAGCTAGATACATGGACCTGAACACGGTTAAATTAATGACAGGGAATAGAATTAACCAGGTTTGTATATAATATTAACAAATATTCAAATAATCACAATAGAGAATTGATTTTTCAAATTGATTTATTATTGATATAAATAATGCTTCGACATTAAAATATACCCAACAAAGATGTACATTAAAGTCATTCAAGCAAGACTTAGTGTGGAAATATCAGGATTATGCACTTCTTAAATATTAATTTATTAGTTCAGAATTTATGGACAAATATTGGTATAAAATAACCAAAATTATGCACTTTCATATCAGTTCAGACATTATAGACAAATATTAGGAATATTGTCAAAAGCTAGGTGGAAATAAAATGTCTTTAGGGCATTTGGTTTTATAAAGGGGCAGTTGTGATGTTGAATTGTATAATATTGATTGATTGTATTTTTGACTGATGTTACATATCAATATGATTATATGTACATTTTGGCTTCAGTTATGTTGCCCCACTAAAAGAACAGGATTCTTATAGGAAGCATCTTGGAACATGAGCACCATTTTATTTCTAAACTATTGAATATTCATCCCTGCTGGGAAGTTTAATAATTTCATTCAATTCGAATAAAGTATATGTTTCAATTCGACAAATTAGAACATATACTGTAGGAATTCTTAGGTTGATCTCTTAAAAGATGTTAGATTGGTCCCCTTGAAGGTGGTTTGATTACAAGGTTTCCATGATTCCAAGATAAAACTTATAGTCAGCAGTGTTTAATCTAAAGATCCCAGAAAAGTGCTTGAATAAGATAAGGACTGGTAATGTATGCTTGAAACATATCTAATGACAGAAAATGATACTAATATGTAAAAATCAAACACCAATATTGACCAAAATAAGTTATCGATAAAGTTTTTCAAGTTCATGAAGGGGCAGTTTAAACAGAAAAGTTTTTAGAAGAGCTTTAAATGATTCCAGTGATTGAGCAGATGAAATGGTATCAGGCAGACGATTGTAGATCTTTGCAGCCACCACAGAGAAGCTACGCTCACCAAACTTAGAGTTAGTAAAACAAAATTTTTTTTTTTAGTAAAACAAAATTTTTATTTACCACAAAACAATCAATACATATTTAATATTATTATACATTTACAAATAAATCTAAATTTAAATTCAGCTATATACACAATACACAGCCCGCCGCGCAGACAGCCACACATTGCTGAGAGATTCTCAGGTGCAGATGTAAGCGCCGCGCGCGCGAGGTTTGTTATCTTACAATTACATGTCACGATATATTATTAATTATCAGAGAATTTTAGAAGCAAAATAAGTTAAAAGATGGTACAATTAGTTTGAATGTTTGACCATGATGTAAGTACCTAAACATGTCCTGCAGATAATGTGGTGCCAATCCTAGCAATGCCTTGTGAGACAGCAGTAAGATTTTGAAAAGTTTAAATTATATGTATCATGATTTGATGCTTGAAAAGAACAATACAACAAATGAGAGCAGAAATCAAGAACGACAAAGAGAAAAGATTTTGTGAGCAGCTTAGGTTGTAGAGAAATCTGATTCCTTGACCAAAAGATGTCTTAAAGCAACTCAACAAAGGGGAGCATCATTGTTGGCGACAGCCTTGTCACTAAAACAAATTTGGTTTATTCTTAACAAACAAGAATTTCGAGATACTGTTCAATGGAATAATAAGTTTTATTGCTTATATCTAAGGTAAAATTGGTGCATTCCAGACATATCAAAATTTTGTGGCTGTGGAGAAAAGAATGATTACTAACCATATATTCTATCCTGTAAAAAGGAAAGCTACAATGAGGCTTAACTCTTTGAGAGAAGCAATGTGTTCAGATAAAACCTCCTGCTCCCTGTCAATACAAATGATTTCCGTGCTAGAACCAATGCAATACAGCAGATGGTGCTAGACTGGATATATTTGCTGACGTTCTGATATCACATCTGCTGTGGGCTGACGATCTTGTCCTTCTTGCTCTAAGTCCCGAGGCCTTGCAAGTCAATATCAACATTCTATTTGATTTCTGTAACTCCATGGGCCTTGAAGTAAATATTAAGAAAACTAAGATTGTAATATTCAGCCCTCCCAAACGAAAGCAGTCCTATGAAACATTCACATTGGGAGGTCAGCCCATCCAGCACACCGATAAATACTGCTATCTTGGCATAATATTCCACAGAAATGGATCGTTTACAGCAGCAAATATTGAGCTGAGGGCCAAGGCTCTCCGTGCTCTCTATGGCCTCAAAGGCAAAATAGTTAAGGATGCCCTCTCACACCGTGCCCTTAATATTCTATTTGACTCCTTAATAAAACCAATCCTGCTTTATGGCTGTCAAGTCTTATGCCCCCACTCAAAAACCATGAGATACCTTTCAAAAATAGATGACAAAGCAAACCCCCAGCATACCTTGAAGTACATTGCACAAGACCACTATGAAAAATTCCACCTAAAGTTTATCAAGTGGTCTTTGTCTGTACATTCTAAAGCATCAAATATAGGTTGCTGGGGCGAAAGCGGGCGCCACCCTCTATTCTTTGAAGCCTGCAAACTTGCAATAGATTACTATAGTCGCCTTGAAAACACTGAAAACGAACTTCTCTGCGCTGCATTTCACGAACAAATCATGTTGGGACTTCCTTGGTATACCAACATCTCAAAGCTGCTCACCAAATACAACTACACCCCCTCATCTTCCTCAAAATCTAAGCTCTCCACCCAAATCAGTCATAACATGAGGGAAGAATTCGTGAATACCTGGAAAGCTGCCAAGGCCTCCTCGCCAAAACTAGAATTCTATAACTTAATTAAACATGATTTCGAACCAGAGGCATACCTACGAATTATCAAAATACCGGATGTTCGAAAAAGTCTGACAAAGTTTCGTATCAGCTGCCACAACCTCTACATTGAAAGGGGCAGATACGAAACCCCCCTTGTACCAAGAGAAGAACGTTGGTGCACCTACTGCTTTTTCAGCAAAGGGCTCAAGCCTATTGAGGACGAAAGTCACGTATTGATTGACTGTCTGCTCTACTCCTCAGTTAGGGAAAAATTCAATTTCCATCCCCTAAACATTACTGACCTAGTCGGTTTGCTCTCCAACAAAACTCTAGATCCTACCACACTCACTGCCACAGCAAGAGCAATCCATTCAATTCTCTCTGTGAACGAAAATTATACAGCCTACTATAAGAGCCAGTGGCGTAACGAAAGGCCCTGCTGACCCCGCTGTGCAGGGGGGCGCCGTCTTAGGGGGGCGCCAAATCGTCGTTTGAATGTGGGACAATTTCGAAAACTTAACTAAAGTACTAGCAAAACTGCGCGTTTTGCTCTAGATACACACTTTTTTAGAGATTTTACCGGCGTATTCTCTAAAATCACCTAATTTGTTCAATTTTAGGGAG